GGCTAATGGTGGACCAACTCGTTATTAAGAAATATATTTGTGGGGAAAGCTGGAGTGGTTAGGTCTTAACACGGACGATAATGGATTCAAGTGTTCATCTAAGAATCGGGCCTGTACTTATTGTCCTGTACTTATTTACAACTGTCTTCTTACTCATTTTTTTGTCATGCGCTCAGGATTATTTTTTGGTTTATTGGTACAACATCAGGCTTGTGTGCTTAATTAAGGCTTATAAACCTTTGTCAATTGGAATTACAGATAGCACAGAGAAGGACATCACATAGAACACATCCACGGTTACGACAGGATTCGAACCCACCACCTCCATTTTTAACGGAGTGTTTGGCGGTTGATACCGCTGGCCCAGAAAGGCCCTTGAGTGCAGAAGGTGTGTTTAAAGGATTTGCCTTGCTTCTCACAACAAGGATTAGCTTTCAGTTTACAGGGACTGGCACAGCAACATGGATCAGCTTTCAGCTTACAGGGACTGGCACCATAGATTCGGACATCTTGGATATCGTCTGGTTCTCCAGCGACTCTAAGAGTACAAAAAAGTAGAACAGATTGAAAAATATAATTGATATCTGAAAAAAATAAATGCTTTGGGTCAATATCGCCTTTCAAGTTCATCAAAAAGTCAGGTAAAAGTCAATCAGTTCAGGCACATTCACTCTTCCGTCTTTTGCTTCTTCTTCAACGCCTTTGTCTTCTTTTATTTAGTGTCTTTCGTCTTTTTTCTTTAACGTCTTTCGTCTTTTAATTCTTTCATTTTCTTTAAAAATATTAAATTCACTTCTTTAGCAATTATTTTTCAACTTCATAAATGACAGTCTTTCCTTTTTCGTCTTGGCATGCACTAAAATTCTAGACAACTGTTCTATGACTTAAGGTATTCTGCACAGGTTGTTGAGCAGATGGGTCCTTCGTGACTTCCTTCTTTGACCACATCATACGTATTTCCTCCTTTTACACTAGTTATTCTGTAAGGGACAAGGTGCTTTGGTTTTAGCTTGAAATGAGGTCCTAATTGAGTTTTTTTAATGGCAACTAAATATCCAACTTCGTAAGATTTCGGTTCTTTCCTTCTTAAATTATACGTCTTTCTATTTTCCTCTCGGATTTTAAAAATCTGCTCTTTTGCATCTTTTCTCAATTCTTTTCTTTGGGTTTCAAAATGAGCCTGAAATTCAATAAATCATTTCTTTTAGCTTTCCCAGTCCATTATTATTCATTTTTGTCCCAAAAAGCAGTTCGAATGAAGTAGTGTCTATGCTTCTTTGATAGGTCGAATTAATCGCTTGTTGAACTTTATTTCTATGCTTGTACCATTCCACTGGATTTTCTATAGATAATTTTGAACGAATTAATATGATGGTCTGAATAATACGCTCTACTTGTTCATTTGTTCTTGGTAAACCAGTTGTTTTTAAATGATGTTTAATATTTTCTTTCGAGCAATAATCAGTAAATTCACTGGTGGTAAATGTTGTACCCCTATCTGAAATTATCTGGGAAGGGTTTTCAAATACAGCTTTTTGGATTTCTAATTTGGCTAAAGTATCAGCTGACGTTGTTGTTTCTGTAGGATAAATCCATACAAACTTGGTAAAAGCATCTATTATCGCTAACACATATTTCTCTCCAAAGGTCCGAGATGATCAATATGAAAAGTTTTCAAAGGCATATCTTCTTAATGCAATGGATGTAATAGTCCTTCCTTTTTACCTCCTTTATGATTAACCAGTATTCAAGGGACACAATTTGCTATGATGTTTTCTATTTTCTGCTTGAGTTTGGGTATGAAATAATATTCTCCAATTTCTTTTTCCGTATATTTAATTCCTGAGTGTCCTTTCTCATGAGCTGTTTTTGTAATTTCGGTTTGCATATTTTCTGACACAACCACCATTAACAGATTTATAGAGAATTCCATTTCTATCGCTATAATCTTCATAATTCGAAAGTTTAAGTAGTCCTTTTATGGCCTTAATTCCAGTATCTTTATCTTGGGCGGATTTGAGTCTTGCTAAAATATTATCGATTTTAACGCAAAATACATTGATTGGAGATCGGCTAAGGGCGTCTACGTGAGTCATCCTGTTTCCTGAAAAAAGCTCAATTATGTAGTTAAATTCTTGCACTAGCATAAAATACAGCGCCGCTTGAATTAACTCGAGCGCACAAGTTAAAAGGGGTTAAAGCCAGCTTGCCTCAAGCTAATATTCTTCGACTGCTTTACTTTCTAAACTATGCAAATTTCCCCATTAAAAAACCTAGAGAAAAACCTAAACGACACCATAGTTATCACAAAGTCAATCAAACACCTCCTTGCACTTGATTTATTTCAGAAAAAAAAATTAAAGACATCGGAATATGGTGATTTATGTGGGAGACCAACCTATATCCTGATAAATGCCAACTCTTCATTTTTTTAAAGCAAAAATTTTCTTTAGATTTCTACCACTGGGAAAACATTTCGCATAAATTCAAATGTTCAGATCATGTCTTTCGTCACCAGCCAAATGTACATAGAATGTTTTAAATGAAGATGTTTAACGCAGAGTATCACAACTTCTTAAAAAAAAACTAATAATCATTTTAATGAAGTAGCTGATATTGAGAAATGCTTTCCTCTGTTTATTTTCCGTATCTACCAGCAAAATATATTGCTGAAAGATACTTTTATTAATTTTTGATTTTCAAGTTAAATGATTAAGATCTTTACCTAAAAGGTATAATAAATTTATTTTATTTTCTGAAACGGTAGTTTTTGAACTATATCATTTCTATCTCAACATCTGTCGCATGAAAAGAAGTAGTATTTTCTTTATTTATTTAAAATTATATTTCTTAAAAATGATTTAATTATTCATGTACCTTAAAATTCAAAAATTCTGAAACGTTTTCACAAATATAATAATGATTATAAATAATTATTAAAAGCTAATAGTTCTAAAACACAAGACTAATGATCTGGTTCTAGTTAAAATGCTACCGAAATCTCTTGCGGTTTGAAGTTTTTTTCTATTGCCTTACAAGTAATTTATTTTTAAAAGGAGAAAATTTCTAGTAAAATCTTATAGTTTCTAACTTGCTTTTAGGTTAGATAAAGTTATAGTCACTTGACTTAACATAGTCAAGAATTGCAACTGCTGAAACTCTGGAAAATATAAAATTATATAGCTTTAACTAATTATAATATATTTACCAATTACTTTTTTTTCAGGCGAAAAAAAAACAGATCCATATATATTTTATGAAGAGCATTAAGTAGTGGTAGTTTGTCTGGAAATTTTACTATCCTCGGAAATAAGTTAGATATGATACGGTTTTTTTTATCGATTTTTTCTCATTTCTGAGTAAGGCTGTTTGCTGGAGCTTTTCTCACATCGGGTGAACAGTACGTCTGTTTGTTTATGCAATGTGTTCCAAAATCACCGCGTTACGGAATCCTTATCAGAAGTAAAGGGAGAAAATATCTAGACATTAGGGATTGTAATTAATATTTAAAAGAGAAGATGGAAGAAAATACTATCGGAATCTTTCGAAACACCAGAGAAAAATGCAGAATGGGAAACATAAAAATCAGTTTGATTGTCAGATAAAAGTCGAGGCAGGCTTCTAATAATAGCTATTCAATATTGTTCTGTGTCCAGGATGTGTGTTTTGATGATTTTAATTCCACTGCCAAAATTCTTGATTCGTTAGATTTTAACAGCATTGTTTCTTTAAATGATGAGTGTATAGGTCTTAAATAAAGAGTGTATAAATTCTGTATAGACTCTTATGACTTAATGTATAAACTCTGACTTAAATTTTGATATTGTTTCTAACATTAGGGGGGCGATCAGGAGGCGACGAATATTCAAAAAAGGAAAATTGCTAAAAAATATTAATAACAAAAGCTATTTCAGATCGAAATGGAAAACATATATGAAAACTTATGGTTCTGGTGTAGACAAAAAATTATGATAGTTAAAAATTAAAAAACTTAATGTTCAGGATCGTTTTCGTCATACGTTTTGGTATCGCAGGCGGAAATCAGACCTTCAAGAATTCTCTTTTGTTGAAAGTCATAGTCTTTTATATACCTTTCTTCTCCTCAAATGCTTCTCTCTCGTCTCATTCCCTGTCATCCGATTTTAAAAGGCATGTAATAGGAGAAACGGATTGATAGACGAAACATTTATCACTAGATAACTCAGCGGTTTGGCAGTTATAATATGGTTTTCAGGAAAATTCCAGACATCAGTGTCGCGATACTGTTTTCAGGCGAATTGATAAGATGGCCTCATTCGTTTAATCAAAACTCATCAAATTTTTGAAAGAAGGTAAATTTGCGTTGCAGATTGATGAATAAACTGTGATAGATAACAAAGCTATTGTATTAGCTTACTTTAGATTAATAAATGAGAGTAAGGAGATTAACGAGGAAATGTTGCTTACAAAAACGTTGATCACTGATACAAAAGGATCGTCGATTTTTAAATTGGTCAAAGATTATTTTGAGGAAAAAGAAATTTCCCTTACAAATGTAAGTGCTTGTGCAACAGATGGTGCTCCTGCCATGTCTGGTCGTCATACTGGGTTTCTGGCACATCTTAAAAAGAAGTACCGGAGATTATCACCATTCATTGTGTCATTCATCGTCAACATTTGGTTGCAAAAAAATTGAGTGGTGCCCTGCATGACAGTTTACAATTTGTTATTTCTGGCATCAATAAAATCAAAGCGAATTCTCTTAATGACCGTTTGTTCCGAGAACTTTGCCATGAAAAGGATGAAGATTTTGAACTCTTCCTCCTACATACAGCTGTGAGATGGCTTTTAAAAGGAAACTGATTGCGCCGTTTCTTCGAATTGTTTGACTCGGTTACTGAGTTTTTCAACACCACTGATCACTTTAAGTGAGAGTTTGAAGCAACGCAAGTTGGAAACTGCGTACCTCAAGGATTTTTTTAAAAAATGAACGAAATCAACGTAAAACTTCAAGGAAATAAATGAACATTATCAAGGCTAAGGGAATCATATCTTCATTCATTGCCAAGTTTGATATATACAAGTCAAACATTGGTCGCAAAGAGCTAATGCAATTCCCAGCTCTTGAAAAGTGTTCAACAGCAGATATCGAGATTCTCGAAAATAAAATCCTGATTTTTACTGATCACCTTGATCAGTTAAAAACTGATGTGGAATCAAGATTTAAAGATTCGGTGAAATTAGAAATTCCGGATTGGATTTTCGATCCTTTCTCTTTTGAAAATGTGGATAAGCTCACTTCCTCTTTGCAGACAGAGTTTTTAGATTTGAAGTATGACTGTGAGGCTAAAGTAGTCTTTAAAAAATACGGTTACAAGTTAGCTTGGGTAAAGCTTATGGACACTTACAAACTGAGAAGCTCCTCATCTCGTTCCCATCAACATATTTAGTAGAGAGAGGATTTAGTTCTGTCGTCCAGCTGCTCAAAAAGCAAAGAAATGGGTTGGACATTTGCTTCAAAGGAAACATGCGTTTAAATCTGTCGAACATAAAACATGACACTCCAACTTTAACTTAAATATACCAAGCACAGAGCAGTCATTGAAGTAATAAAAATGTACTTTCTCAATCTTCATTTTTTTCTCAAATTTTAGTTGTTAACGTTTTAACTTTTTTCTTGATTACATTAAAATATGAACTTAAAAAATTGTACTTTTGTTTAGATTATTCTATTTAAATATTATTTCTTTTTGAAAAATGCCGACCGGCTTGTGTAGTGGCCAGGGAACTGTCCTTGCATCAGAAAGGTTCTGGGTTCGAATCCCGGACAAGGCATGGATGTTCTTTCCTTTTCTGTACTATCTGTCCTCACTGTGGGAGCGACGTTGGCCCACCTAATAGGGTGCCCCTGAAAGAGAGGCCAACAAAATCGCCCTGTATATGTCTGAATTGACGGATGTTAACACAGGTGGCTATTGGGGAAAAAATCTTTTTGAAAAAAAGATGCAATTTTTTTTTTTAATTAATAAAAATGGCGGGATAAAATTGTCTCTTTATTTGCATTGCAATTTAAGTTAAAATCAAATACAACTTAGCATGTTTTCAGTGTTTGGTTGTTCACAAGCAACAATGAATGATTTTTGAGCATAAAGAGAAAGGTGCGATATGTGTTAGCCAACCGCAAGAGGGGGGAGATGGTCCAAAAGAGGTTGAGAACCACTGAACTAGACTATATTCGAGTTCCAAGATCATAGTCGTTTATTTGGCAAGTGATTTCAATCTTGTTCGATTCAGTAGGCGAATTGACCACGCAAAGTGTTATAAAATGCATTGTGGGAGTTTTTAGTTTCATGGCAAAGATGTTTCTGTTCTCAGAATAAAATATACATTAATCCATGGCTGAAAACCCTTCTATGGAAAGAGATTCCATTTTCCAGCATTTTTTTCGAAAAATAAATTATCTGTAACTCTATCAAGATTTCTTTCATAATTTCAGCATAGATATAAATCGACTTCTTTTCCAAGATTAAGTAGTCAGGGTTCCCGCGGTGCTTGAAAACTTTTAGTGGTGGTAGAATATCAGTAATAGATAATTTTCTGGAGAAGTAAATCTATCCTAACAAAAAAACAATTTATCATTGCTATTAATTTTTTACGGTCTTGTCTTACCTTGCCTTCAAATTTTTCACGGGGAAGAAGCAATTTAATAAATAAATTGAATCCGTTAAAAAATTTGGTCGCTACTGATACTGTTTCCGAAAAGAAACTAAAAATAAAATTTATTTGTTACCAGATTTTACCCTTTTCCGTCATAATATGCATCAACCGATGCTCGAAAAACCGCCCGTCCTCCCGTCCTCGGCGGTGAAAAATTCCCGGCGGACAATGAATTCCTCGAATCCGACGTTCGCGCGGACGGCCATTTTCCCGTTAATGTTCGTGATACATTTTCAATTTTTGCTATCTTACAGGAGTCTAGCGTAGCGGCTCACTTCTAACATGACCCTCTAATCTAGAAATCCTGTTAATTCCTTCGTCAGACCAAATGCAGCAAAATGACCCACAATACAGCAGCATGGTGGAATTGATGTTTTCTCCGTCTGGGAGGACTGCAGCGGTTGAAAGGGGCTTTTCAGCGATGAACTTACAAAAAAACACATTACGTACTGGTCTCAAACACGAAGCGTTAAACGCAATTAAGAACATCTACCTAAATGGAAAACCACTTTCGGATTTTTGTACAGAAACCTCTGTAAATCATTGACTTGATTGTGGAATTGGCAAACGTCATATTTGATTCATTTAAAAAACTCATTAACCTCGGATAAACTGTCATTCCAGATAACTTGACCTTTGTCATTTAAATTATTTCATGAAATAAATAAATAATTTCATAAAAGAAATACTAGGTTACAATTGGTAACCTAGTATTTCTTTTATTACTGTATAATGTAATCCTAGTAACTACTAATTCATTGTGCAAAAATGTTTGTAATAAATAAGAGAAAATTATATTTTTATTTATTTAGAAGCTACGGGTTAGTTTCAAAGGAGGACGGGTACATTGTTGGACCAGCCGTCCTCGGGGACGGGTAAAATTTCCGAGTTTTTTCGAGCCCTGGCATCAACCTTCCTTCACATCATAACGCTTTGAATTTGAATAAAAACTCTGCGGTTTCTCATAATCAGCAAAAATTTTTCATAATAATTTTTTTCTTTCTTTCTCATAACATAAGAACATAACATAACATAAGTGACATAAGAACTGCAAAGTGGTGAATTATATAAACCAAAGAATTATTTAGAAATAGTGCTGGATAAAGAATTAAACCAAGTATCTCAATTGATGAACTATCACTTAAAATATATATATTTGCTGTTCGGAGCAAGTTGGCATCGATGTATCGATTTTATTCTTGAATAAATAAGTGTTATAGCTTACAATCCTATATAAATGATAAATATCAATAAAACGATTTTTCTTAGCTTTCACATAGTTATTTTCAATTCTCGATTATATTCGAGTGTGAAACATTATAGTAGCATAAAATATAACGCCGCTCGAATTATCTCGAGTGTGCACAGTTTGACTTGTTTAGCGAGCTCAAATTAACTCGAGCGCACAAGTTAAGGGGTTAAAGCCAGTTTGCCTCAACCTAATATTCTTGGACAGCTTTACTTTTTAATCTATGCTAATTTCCACATATAAAATTTTTAAAAAAAAACCAAGAGGAAAGCCTAAACGACACTGTCAGAGATGCCAACTGCTCCGGACACGCAAAAATGATAAAAAAAGCGGTAAATAACTACAAAAACAATTTTACTAATAATTGACTATTCTTACTTGCTTTTAAGGACGTGTAGCAGGTCATGACTACTAAAAGTGGTGAATTATGTAAACCTACGAATTATTTAGAAATAATGGTGGATAAAAATATACTAAATTGAATTTATTAAACCAAGAATCACAATTGATAAACTTCCACTTTAAAATATATATTTGCTGTCCGGAGCAAGTTGGCATCTCCGCACTGTATGCCAATGACACCGTAGTTAGCATAAAATCAATCACACTCTGAAATAACTAAAGTGCGTGGGGCACTTGATTTATTCCAGAGAAAAAAAATTAAAGATATCGCAACATAGTGCTCTAAATGGAAAACCAACCTATATCCTGATAAATGGCAACTCTTAGGGCCGGGATAGCCTGGTCGGTAGGAACGCTGGGCCCATGTCCAAGAGGTCGTGGGTTCAATCCTTGCCGGCAAAAGACTCCCCGTGTAGTAAATGGTTATTGATGCACGTTAAATCTGTCGAGTCTCAAAGTCCTCCATGTTCCCGTAACAAATCAATATCTCTTGGGATACTGAGTCAGAATTTTCCTTGTCTTCTGGATTAGTTCAAAATTACAAGGCTACGGAGATGAACATTAGTAGTCGTAAACCCATGAGATTGGGTCGGCTATTCAACGATGGTTATAACATAAAATTGCAACTCTTAAATTTAAAATTTTTTTTTTATTTTCTTTAGTTTACTACCACTGGGAAAAACATTTCGCAAACTCGAATGATGACACACCTAGCAGACACCTTTTGTAGAATGTTTCAAATGAAGAAGTTTTACACGGAATATCGCAACTTAAAAAAAAACTTTTCCTAACTATTTCAATGAAATTTCCTTTCTTTTTATTTAGTACCTACCAGCCAAATGTATTGCTAGCAGGTACCTTCTTCAAATAAATTTCTGGCGTGGCCGAAAAACCCTGACGCATCTTGAAAAATTAAATTATTTATTAAATATATTTTATTATCTGTAAAGGTAGTTTCTACTATTTGAACTACCTCATTTCTATTTCAACATTTGTGAAGTAAAAAGAAAACAGTATTTTTCTATTAGTTTATAAATGCATTTCTTAAAATGACTTAATAATTCATATACCTTAGACGGCTTGAGTCCATTCTCCATTACTATATAAATCTTCAAGACATTGCTTTCTTCCTGCCCCCCTGACAGGCTTCTTATCTCCTCCATGATATGGTATGGCAAAAGGACATAAAGTGGTTTATTTAAATAGAAATTTACAATATTAAATATGTTTACTTTCTCGTTAAGTTAGTAATTTATTGTAACATTAATATTTAATAATTTTTTAATCAACATCTATTTAAATACTGCCACAAATAGAAGTAATAAAAAAGAAGTATTTTTCAACAAATAATCTTTGCCGATATTCATCTATAAACTGAAACATTTATTTTCCTTATGAGTATAATATTTATTTGTATTCGCTTTTTTCTCCAAAGCAGTAAAAATTGCACTGTACATTTAACACACAATTTTATTTCTCACTGAAGTAAAATAATTTATCTACTACTTTATATTAAATTTCCTAATCTACTAATATAATTTTTTTCTCATACAGTTTGACATGATGGGAAAAATGAGTATCAAATAGACGTAAAATAGTAAATGGTAGAATAAGCAATACAGTAGTTGAATATTTACAGTGGCTGAGAGTAATAGGAGACGGTACTTTTACATATCTGTTGTTATGGATTGTAATTTCAATATAAATGTAAACAATAACAATCTCGAGCTCAATTTGTTTGTCTAAGATATGTACTCTCACCGCCACAAAGTCTGCGGCAGTCTGGTGCTATGGAAACAAGAAGAGGACATTTTAGGGAGGGTAGCATCGATGAACAGGTTTCCTTTTCTCTCGCCGAAACTAGTCCTAAAGAAGAACCCCGCACCCCTACTTGAAATAATGATACCTCGTTAACATAGTCACCGCCACAGCTGCCGATGAATGTCTGGAAGAGTACCTATCTAAGACAATCAATAGTCGTATCTCGTTACCATAGTCACCGCCACAGCTCCAGACGAATGTCTGGAAGAGTACCTATCTAAGACAATCAATAATCGTATCTCGTTACCATAGTCACCGCCA